TTTAAAAAATAAGTTTTGCTTCAATCATTTATGGACTACTGGAGAGAGAATGAATGACCCAGAGAAATTTTAGAGGCTTCTGGATATGGGGTACACTTAGTGACACACTGAGAATCTGGTCCAAAATATCCCATCCATGATCATTTGAAAAATGAATTCTTAAAATTGGTTTTGAAAACTTTAAGTCATTTCGAGGCCTTGTTGTTTAATTTACAAGCAGGTTCTTCAGCTACACTTTTTTATCATTTATTTTGCTTTATCTGGGGGGTATGTTGCTAAGTCTCTTCCAGAAGGTTGACATTGGTCTGCGAAGTAGACAAGTAACCTGCAATTTCCCTGTGACTGAAGCTAAACAAAGGCAGCTTGTGCTAGTATCAGGCATGTGGAGGGCTCTCTCAGCTTGGTTGGATGATTTGGGAGAGTAGCAAGGCAGTTAAGCACATGCTTAAATCCATCTGTGATGCTGGCACAAGGTCCCCATTCCTCACTTGGAAAGTGACAAACACGTAGCTGGAATTAATCTGGCTCATGAGTGTGTTAGCAGGGCCGTCCCTAGCTGTTCTGGGGCACTACACAGCCCCCCCATGGGGGCGGGGAGGGGCAGGCCTCTGTGGGGGGAGAAACGGGGGGGGGGCTGGCCCCAGGCCTCTGCGGGGGGGGCTGGTTTGGGGGGCAAGGGGGAACCACCCTGCAGCACTCACCGGCAGTGCGGCTGGCGCCGGGTCACTGCACTCCTGCCACCCACAGGTGAGTGCAGCCCCAGCCCTGCTGCAGAGCTCAGGGAGTGGGGGCAGGGGCCTGGGGAAGAGCCAGAGCAGGGGCTGGAGCAGCACACAGCTGCCCCGGGCACCAGGAAATTTCGTGCCCCAAATTTCCTGGTGCCCTACGCAGCTGCGTACTTTGGGTAAGGATGGCCCTGTGTGTTAGTGTTGTTAAAATATGTATTAGAATTATAAAAATGTGCTTAGTGTTTAGTCTTTATTGAATGTTTGTAAATTGCTGCGTGCATTAATCTCACATATAACATCTGTATCCCATGAAGGTAGTATTTAAGTGTTTGCTTTTTAAGACTCCGTAACAATGTAAATCATAGAATCATAGGTTTCAGAGTAGCACCCATGTTAGTCTGTATTCGCAAAAAGAAAAGGAGTACTTGTGGCACCTTGGAGACTAACCAATTTATTTGAGCATAAGCTTTCGTGAGCTACAGCTACAATCATAGAATCTCAGGGTTGGAAGGGACCTCAGGAGGTCATCTGGTCCAACCCCCTGCTCAAAGCAGGACCAATCCCCAACTAAATCACCAGACAGAGGGACATGAATTAGTGTGAGATACTGGCTTCCAACAAAAGGCATTAGGCTTTGCCCAGCAGAGAAGGCCCATCAACACCAGATGACAAAATACTTTGTTGATTGCTCACCCCCTCACTCCCTTTGAAGAGGAGGCGTGCAAGTGAATTCCTCCCATCAGCTAAGTTTGCAGCTGGAAGCAGAATTGGGGAAGGAATAAAAAAACCTTAACAAGGAGGAACTGCATCTCTATGCTGGACTCTCGAGGGCAAGGTTTTCTAAGCATAAGCAAGAGATTCCCCAGTGTTTAACCTGGGTTAGCCCCAAGGGACATATACAGCTTGCTTATTATAGAAGCTTTTATTGTCTTTTGAAACTTAAGGCTGTAACTCATTTGTGTGTGTATGTTTATTTGCTTTAACCTTGTGAATAACTCTCTCATTTCCCTTTCGTAGTTAATACATGGTTAGATAGTTTATTAGAGGATTGGCTACAATTGTTGTCTTTGGTGTAAGATCTAAGGCACAACAGACCCATTGTAAGTGACTGGTCCTTTGGGACTGGGAGTACTGTTGATTTAGGTACAAGTGACTCTCTATTGCCAAATTTCAGAGTAGCAGCCGTGTTAGTCTGTATCCACAAAAAGAAAAGGAGTACTTGTGGCACTGATGAAGTGAGCTGTAGCTCACAAAAGCTTATGCACAAATAAATTGGTTAGTCTCTAAGGTGCCACAAGTACTCCTTTTCTATTGCCAAAGCAAGCTTACCTAGGTGACAAAATAGACTGGATTATCAAGGGAACTGTCTGTGACTTCATGGATGATACAATGAGGATGCAAAGGCCAAGGAGAACTGTTTTGTTATAGAGTTATGATCCAACTATTCCACCCACTGGGCATTGCAATTAATATCTATGCTGCAAGACCAGTCATTTCTTAGTACAAATACCGTGCAATTAAAAATAATAGGTTAGCACTTTACAAACGTACATTGTGTCAACACCCACGTGGGAGAGAGAACATCATCCCAATTTTACATTTGGGTAAAATGAGCCACTGGGGGGTTAAATTGACTTGTTCCAGAGCAACGAGTGGAAACCAGGACTCAAGATTCCCAGTCCTGTGTGCTAACCAAGGCTGCCCAGAGGAGCGGGGGAAAGAAAGAGGGAGGCCAAAGGGGCAGTTTGCCCTGGGCCCCCATTTGAGAGGGCTCCCAAACGGAGTAAAGTTGCAACCTGGTACATGGAGTTGCAGTGCCGCTCACTGAAATTTGACTCAGCAGCCCCTCCTTTAGGCTGAGTGGCACTACAATCCCATACCCAGGTTGCAGTGCCCAGAGTTGAGTGTGGTGGGGGCTTGCTCTCCAGCTCGCCCCCACCTTGAAATCCTCTCAGTGGCAATTTTTTGGAAGGGTGAGGGGCCCTCAGTTTCAGATTTTGCCCAGGGCCCCTAAAAACCTCTGCGCAGCCCTGACATTAATCATTAGACCCTATCCCCTCCTTTTGTGTTATGTTTCCCGTTGCCATTTATGATTCCAGTCTTAACACTTCGCTACCCTCCACAGCATTTGAAGTCCAAACAAATGTAAAATGGTGTCCTTTTACAAAGAGATGGTGATTTGACATTCTTTTCCGCAAGTGGAGGGGGAGCTGGGGGTGGATGGAAGTCTCCTAAGGGTAATTAGCTCAGCCGAGACTATGTTCTGGGACATCTGCTTTTTGTATTCCTTGGCCAGCTGAGGGATATGGGTCAGGGGTCACCTTCTCCCAAGAGCTTGAACGCGCCGAGTGAGCAAGATCCAGCCGCCAGTGCATGCCGCCTGCCGCCTGCCCCACTCGGCCTCTCTCTGATTTCAGGAATTTGGTTGTGAGGCGAAAGCGTCTTGAATGAAAAATGTGAGCTTGCAGTCAGCTCCCGCAGGGACGGCAGAGCTGTGTCAAAACACAGAGGTCAGCAGATCCCACCCATACAAAACACAGCACTGCAGAGGTCCTCTCTCTGATTGAAATCACATGTGCTTGGGATGGAGGCTTGAGAACAGGATTCCTGCACAGCAATGAAATAAAACTGAAGGAACATGCGTGTTGCGGCGTTTCCAAGTGATGATCTGAGGCTTTTGGAAGCAGAGCTGCCGAGGAGTTAATCAGGCCCCAGCAAAACAGAAAAATACAGTTTAATGAAGGAAAACATTTGTTTTAAAAGCTAACAGGGACTGAGAGGGGGAGGGCAGGTGAGGCTAAAATCTGGCTGCTGCTATACAGACTCCTACCAAAAGAAACAACACTAGCTGTGGGAGTTGGTGGGGTGAGAGTTGGCCTCCCTTGTTTTGGCTCATCCAAATATGTTTCAGAGGAACCACTCCTCAGGCACTCTGTGACAAGAGCCCGAGAGGAGCATCATACGATGGGAGGGATGAAGATGAAGATGTCAGGGGAGGGCCTGGTCCACATATGCATACGCATACCACAGCCTCTTTGCACTGCTCCTGTGCAGCTTCTCTTGCCTCTTGTAGGGCTAGATTGTGCAATTGTACAGGGTACTTGTCTAAGTCGGAATGCAGATGCATACTCGGGTCTTGATCTTGCAAAAGGTTCCCTCAGCATGGGCCACTTAACCCCTTGCTGAATTCAAATGGGATTGTAAACTCCAGGGCATTATCACTGCACCAATGGATATCTTTACCGGATCGTTCAGAAGCCATTTCAGAAATATACATAATACCATTAGGGGATAAGGAGGTGCTGGCATTTTGCTTTTCTCTATGTACCAATATCACTAAAACTATTATTTTTTTAGTTAAATATGTCTGTTCTGATTCTGGTTTTTATTACTACTTTTCAATGGGGCAGAGAACATATGGGTTTTGCATGAACCTCTCTACGCTGTTTTAGTCCTTCTAAGCACAGGACTCTGACTGGGTGAATTGGCTAGAAATGGATAGACAGCCCAGCCACGTGGAAGTCATGGAGGGTGACACATGAGAAAAAGGCAGGTATTCTGATATGAGCAGTATAGCATCTGATGTTTCCTCTAAAGATAGGAGACATAGGAGCTGCCATAACCAGAACAGATCAACGGTCCATCTAGTCCAGTAGCTTCTTCCTAACTGTAAATTGTTTAAAAAAAAACAAACGACCAAAACCAAACACTTCATGGCACACACAGTTCTCCCCTTGGGAGAGGATGAGGGAGAAAATGAAGCACACTTGACAGATATTAGTAACATTGTTTGATGTACAACTGGAAGGTGCTTAGATGCTATGGTGATGAGGGAAGTATAAGAACCTATTTGGAATAGAATAAAATAGAATCTCCTCCACATTTAAAATACATCAATCAATATGCAATGCTATGAATGCGGGTTAAGGATGACATTTCCTGATTAGTGATCTGATTATGCCCTGCAAGCATAAGGGTTGATAGCTCTTTTAATATTTTCCTCGTTAAAATTACTGCAGACGCTATCTTTATTTCCACAAGGGTCTAAGAATTAATTAATTAAGAATTAAGTCACGGAGGGGTGAAGTGACTTGCCCAAGCCATGGAGTGAATCAGTGGCAGATGCAGGAATAGGAACCAAGTGGAGCCTGGATTTCATGCCAAGTGACCTGGCTCTCAGGAGCCTGTTCTAAGCATTAGAGAACACATTGCCTCTCATTATTTATTATGATTACATATTGTTTGTATTACAGGAGCACCTGGAGGCTGCCATCTGACAGTAGCATTCCATTGCGCTAAACACAGAGTGAAATCCTGGCCCTACTGAAGTCATTGGAAGCTTTTCCATTCAATGGAGTCAGCCTTTCACCCATAATCAGACAGTCGCTGCCTTAAAGAATGTACAGTCCAAACAGAAAAGAAAAACAAAGGCTGGGTCTCAAGGATCTTTAACATGAGTAAATCTATGTCAAGTCAATGGAACTATGTGGATTTACGCCAGCTGAGGATCTGGCTCAGGGTACATATCTTTCCTGTGCAAACCCTGGGTTCAGATTCTCCATTTGTTAACACAGATACAATTCTATTGACTTCAGTGGCGATGCAGCTGAGTAGCTGTGCAAACCTCAGACTGGAGTCTTTACAGGGAGCGTTATTTCAAAATGTACAGACCTACACTGCATGCCCACCCCATGCTCAAAGGGGAATGGAGTAGCCCAGTTCTCTACTTTCCTCGTCAACTGGAAGGCCCAAAGATGGAATGTGGGGGCTCAGCTGAGATGTTCAGTTCTGAAAATTCAGGGCAAAGAAAGACTGGAAAGTTACATTTGGGAGGGTAATAAAAGAGTTGCTTCTGAACGAACCACTATCAAAACAATTTTTTGTTGTTGTTTTAGGCTCCAAAGCAAGACAAAAGTTCTCCAAAAAGGGCTGGCCTATGGCTCCATTTCCTCTGCTGTTTTTCTTCACAGGTGGGTAAATTTCATTTTTTAAAGTCAAAGAAAAGCTATTCCAAAGTAAACTGAGTGCTTTATTGCATCTCTTTATTGCTGCAGCAATAATCCACAGTGAAGACAAATGCACTTCCAAGATACAAGCTTCATCCCTGTTAACCACTTTCATGTTACCTTAGTGAAATGCTCAGTCATATTCCCATAGTTGTGTGTTAACAGGGTATGACATTTCACTTATCCAGTACAAGCATTGCTAATATGATGCAAAATGAATGCCTAATATATTAGCACTCTGTCACTTTTCATATTCCCGCCCACTCTCAAACATGCAGCCACAGTTTACTCTAGGGCAGAAAACGAACAGCAGAACATCTCCGTTAGTCTTGTGAAAAAGATACATTAAATTCTGTGTGGCTCCAATGGATCATTCTTTTGAATGAGAGCTGTGGGCTTGTGGCCAAGTGCGGGACTGGGTACCAGGAACTACTAAAATCTAATCCGAGATTGGACTAGATTCCCTCTTTAGCCTTGCATCAATCACCTAACCTGCCTCAGTTTCCTCACCTTTAAAATGGACCTAATAATACTCTCCCACTACACAGGGAAAGTGTGAGAACTAATTAATTAGTTTATGCTTGCAAAGTTTTTGGAAGATGGAATGTAAATGCTAAGGGTCTGATTCTCTTCTTGTTGTACAGTAATGTCATTCCACTGTCTTCAATGGAGTTTCTCCTGATTTACGTGGCTATAAGTAAGAGGAGGATCAAGCTGTGAGTAATCTTATTAGTATTATTTAATGCTATTCTCCACATCCCTCCCAGGGTTTGGCCTAGCACAATGCCAGCTGCAAGCAATCCCTTAGGACTTTGGGTTGGAAATGAGACTACTGTCTGCTCCCTTCATCCTTTCCCAGGTTTTTTCCACTACCATGAGGAATTAAACAATTCTGTACGCATAGTGCTGTCTCCCAAAAGACAAGAGGCAGAGTTCCATGCATCACACTCCAGGAGTCATATCACCAGCCCAAGCAAAGCAAGGAGTGTATTGGAATGTAAATCGGACTTTATATATTGAAAGATAAGCAGGCATGTGGATATTAGAAAGCGGGTATCTTTGTTGTCCCCCAAGCTCATCAGAGGTACTGAATGCTAGTTTGTGTTACACTGAAAAAACACTCAGCTCGCACTTCTGTAAAAGGCACTGTGTCCAGAAGGTTCCCAAGGCTCTTTCCAATCAAATTTACAAACTGAAGGTCAAATCCTGCACAGTTTGCTCATGCTAGCAATCCCACTGATGTCAAAAGAGCTACTCACAGCTCACGAAAGCTCATGCTCAAATAAACTGGTTAGTCTCTAAAGTGCCACAAGTCCTCCTTTTCTTTTCATAGGAGAAAGGCATACACTGTTTGGAAGGACTTTTCCCACCATGGAAGGGAAGCCACCTCTGAGGCAGAACACAGCAGTTGTTTTAACTGACACGTAGCAACATGGCACAATAGCTACTCCATTCCCCTTTGAGCATGAGGTGGGCATGACACAATAGCTACCAATACCAATGTGTACCGTGGCACAATAGCTACCAATGCTAAAGGGACTGAAAATTCAGGATCAAAGAATGCAAGAAGAATGTATTGCTAAGTGCTAAATAAATTAAAAATATAATAATGCCAGACTTGGCCAAATGTTTTTCACGCTGGCTTGCTACTGATTAGATATATTCTTAGTTCGAAGTGACTGCCATGAAAGAACAGCTACAGTGCGTATTACAAACACACGCACAGCCTCCCCCACCACACACACAGACACAGCAATCGTCTGGAAAGGATTCCATCCCCAACAAGATTGAAATCTATAATTTGAAGGTCAAATCCTCAGCTGATACAAATCAATGTGGCTACCTTGGCTTCAGTGGAACTATGCCAGTTGATGCCATCTGGGGATCTGACAGTAAGTGTGCCAGGAAATGTGATCACATTTGGGCCAAAGAAAGTTTTCTGCAATACGCGTTATCAACTACTGTTTTAGAACCTGAACAAGGTAATTCTAATCCCCATTTTTAAACATCCTAACCCTAATCTTCCTCCCAGTGCTAATGGACTAAAGGTATTGAAGAGACAGCTGCACCTGCACTGAATATAAACTACTAAATTGTTTCCTTGAATATGCAAGATGAATACTCTAACAAATCTATGACCACTTAGGACTTGTTGCCAGAGTACTGCACACCACAGTTAGTTGGAACTAAATAATGTTAGCAATTTTTTGCACTAAACATTTTTTCATTGAAAAATGGCCTTTCTTCAAAAACAAAACTTTTCACAAAATATTGTTGACATCATTGAAATTTTCTGTTTTTGTGAAATATTCCATGACCTTTTTAAGTATGTTTATCAAATCATTTTTGAATTGCTTTTGTTATTTACCAAAAAATATGATTTTTTACTCAAAACTGGAGGTTTTGGTAAACAAAATGGTTTGAAAACAATTTCAATAAAAAATTAGTTAAAAATATCTTGAAATTTTTTTAAAAATGAAAATGGATCCATTTCAAACCCTGTGCAATGGAAACATCTTTGAAATTTTGAATTTTTCACCAAATCTTTTCACCAAATCTTTTCCCCCATTTTCAAAGCAGCTCTGCTTTGAACTTCCTGATGGTGAAAGGGTTAAAACTCAAACACTTTCTCCAAAAGCACCACTTGAGCGAAAGAAAAATCTGCATTATCTACTAGCAGTATGGGGATCTAGGTCATATAGTAAAGCAGTTCTGATTCTATCCAGCAGAGGACAATAGTGCCACAGATACAAACTATGGCGTTCATTACCTTACCTTTTCCTCTATTTACTGGGGACAGTATTAACTAAATATTCTGTAACAAAAACTTCCCCCTTCCCATTGCGACAGGGAAGGAGGGTGAAGGTATCATTTCAAGCACATGGAGTAGCACTTGTTAACCCACCCACCCGTTCAATCAAAAAGGAAGGAGACTGGTTCTTGGATTGGGGTTTGTTTTCTTGGCGACTAAAACAGACTTTTTCTGTGAAGCCCACAAAGGTTAAACCACCTCAGCAAAAACAAAACGAAACACCCTCTGATTCATCTCCCACAATAAACATGTCCATCCAGTCACACTCACAACTGATAAAACAACAACAATAAATAGAACCTTCCCCTATGGCTCTCATCTTGCTTTCTGCTGCTGCCTCTTTCCATTGTAAGCTCCTTGGGGCAGAAACTGCATCGTCTTCTCCATCCTGAGTAGCTCATTGTGGCCTTTTGTGAGGTCTAAATGCCCAGGTCCAAGACACAGTGATTCATTCACAGACCTTATGCCATCATTGTTGAAAGGAAGAACCCTGCAGTAATTGGCATGCTAACATGGGATTCAGGACCCCAGGGTTGCCCCAGGGTTGCCACAGTTGTGACCTTGGGCTCAGCTCTTCATCTATGTGGTGGGTGGTAACAGCACTTCTCTATCTAACAGTGGTTTTGTGAGGATAGAAACGTTAATGACGGTGAGGGGAACCTAACAAAGACTGGATATTTGTATGGATACCAGGAATAGCCAGAATTATCAAAATAGCAGCACATTTTGGAAGGAATATTAAACCTTGTGATTCAGGGCTTAAGCCTCTTCTGACTCTTAGAGACCTATGTGGGGGACAGATTATGCCACATCTGCCGATGCTGCTGGGTTCTTAAGCCATCCTTTGAAGCATTTGTTTGTTTGGCATGTTCTTAAGTGCACAGGGCACTGTCCAACGGCAAAGGCTTCATGAGCCTAAGGCCATTGCTGAGGGAAGCCCCGGATGGGAACATACAAGTGCCATGTCTGCCAAATATGCCTGTGACCTTTGCGCAAAAGAGGAATGCAGTTCTGTTAGGGACATGTCCCAGTTTCACAGTCAGGGCTACTGTAGGTGTGGCTGAAGAGGCAGAGCCCTTTGCATCTGGGTATCAGTGTCCTGAGAGTAAGGAAGCTCTGACTGAGAGCTACGAATACACCACTGAGCTCTGGTGAGCAAGCAGTGCTTCCAACATGCGGAACAGAGGAGGAAAAAGACAAATACGGCATTTGGGCAACAGTTGAGCGTATTCGCTAATTAGATCTGAAAAGGTTAGGCATGTTATCAAGGAACAAACTGTAAAGGTCAGATGGAGTATATACAGCTAAGCCTAGGAGGAATGGGTAACCCCCGTTCATGTCCAGCTAAACTCTGCCACAGAGACTCTGAATTCTCACCTTCCCCTCATTGTACTGAAGGGGGCTGACCACAACATAGGCTTCAACTTAAATAAAAGTGTCATTGAACTTTTCCCTTGTCCTCATCCAGATCCTGGGAAGCCCCTACAGCAACGTGACTGACCAACTCCCTCACATCAAGAGTTGTTTGCATCAAGAGTGGCTTCAGCTACTGGCACAAGTGGGAGGTATGAGAAAACGATGTGGCTGCGCAAGGGAGAACACTGGTCTTGTAGATGTAATGAAGTATGGGATTCTCCCCATTCAAAAAAAGAGAGAAGAATGATGATCATTATTAATTAGGCTCTATGTGATGAATTATTGTACACATTTGTATTTGTCATCCAGTTTTTTGCATCTGCTGGATTTATAATGGAACATGGAACTCGTATTTAATCTGCACTTTCTCTGACATATCCTAAACCCACTAGTGGTTGCTCTAAGTGACTAAGTACCCTGGTCACTGGGTCCAGCTGAACTGTACTTGATGCAGGACCTAAGAAGTTGGAGAGAAGTGTCTTTATACTTTACCTTTACATTCCTCTGCTCTTGGGGACAGCTCAGTGGCACCAATTCTAGCTGCCTAGTAGCTCTCATTCACTGGAACTTCCAGGGAATGTCCTGAGCAAGGAGATAACAGAGCAAGTGCCTCCATGCAGATTCAGATCCCAGTGGATTCATGTGGTTTGGAGGCAGATCTGTAACCTATTCAGAAAGGGAGGGACCAACCCTGCACAATGATCAGAGAGAAACTTTACAAGGGGGAGCCTCAGAGCGTTCTTCCGATTAGCCCCTGCTTGTAGGGACAGATCTAACCCTAAGGAAGAGCTTCATGGATCAGTGAAAAGAGGAATGGTTTGTAGCAGCAAATTCAACTCCTGTCTAATCTACTGTTGGAATAGTTTGCATTCTCTTAACTATAAGACTAGCATGTGTTATGTAGGAGGTCAAACAAGATGCTCACAGTAGTCCCTTCTGGCCTTCTAATCGATGAATGAAAAACTTCTGGACTTGGCCCAAAGGGTGGACTTTCGGCAAGTCTGTGCCACACTTTCCCCAGCTGTAAAGCAGATGATAATACTTACCTGTGTCTGAGGGTGTAAGACTTAAATAATTAATGGTTGGCAAGAGCTTGGAGACCTTTGGATGAAAAGTGTTATTAACCGCACATTAAAAACATCTTTTCTTAAGCAACTTGCATCTGAGCCCTTTCCCTCAGTTCAGTAATGTAGGAGATAGACACCCATCTCTTCACAGAAGGAACTCTTTGCAATCCTGCACAGCTCCAAACCAAGAAGAGACCATTTTCCAGAGGATACAAGTTTTCAGATATTCCACTGAACAACACCCCTCAAAATGCAGAGACAACTACCAGACCTCCCCCACTCCGTCCCCAGGAATGAGTCTCTTCACAGGCTGTGAAACCCTGTCACTCAGTATCTCCCTCATCTGTCACTGTGACACTGCCCTGGGCTGCACTGGGATTACAGAGCAATGAAAAGCTCTGTTTGAAAATGCATTCCTGAAATCCCCAAGGAACATGGTTTAAGCTCAGCTCTTATCACATGTGGAGGGAAACACGGGCCTGCAGGGAATGGCTGAAAGTCTCCTGCCAGGGTTTGACCTGGAGGGTAATTTAACACAAGGGCTATGTGTTCTGGCCCCGGGTATCCAAGTTGCTTTCACGTGCAGGAAAACTCCAGGGCCTCAGTATTTGTCTATTTCTTGGCGTGGTTTTGCTTCAAGGAACCACGGCTCATAGGGGAGTTATTCTGGGCCAAGTTCACGTTCACATCTCCCTGCAAGATGCCAAGCACAAAGGAACTGAAATACCATGATTAGAGCAAGGGACAGATTCTATGCTGCACCCTCTCAGAGACACAGCACAGGAGGTGTGACTGAACAGGAGGTGAGGCAGGGGGGCAAAGGTGGCTTTCCATCATCTTTCCATCATCCAGATTCTGGGCTGCTGTGGAGGTCAAAACAGGCTCTTGCATAAGTTACTGTAGCCACTGGGGACTGCTTTCACTTACAGCAGGCTCCCCAGGGCTGTGCTACAGCCCAGAATACCAGCAGCACTCAGCAGTACAAGCATGCTGTCTCCGATCTATGATTTGTTCCCTACCTGGGCATGTCCCCTACTCTGGGACTGCTTACATCAACCCTATGCTGCTTCTGAATTAAGAGAATTCTCCTCCAACCCACTGTGGCTCCTTGCCAACCCCAACAAAGCAGCATATAATTGATGAGGTCCAGAACTGGTCCCGTAGTGTTATTTTGCCTCCATCAATGGCCCTTTCTCATTGCAAAACAATGCCTTGTGGTAGGTCATACAGTGAGTCAGGGACAGAGCTGAGACTAGAACGCCAACCTCTTGATTTCCGCTCCCTTTAACCCCCCAGCACGTCTCTCATCTTTCTTCACGGCAGTAACATCTGGCAAGAGGTTCTGAATCTCTCCTACCACGGAGCCGTTTCCTCACCTGGTACAGTTACTTTCCTTGAGACAACCAGGGTCCCACAGCTTGATTCTCGAGGCTCAGCTGCAGTGACATGAAAAATGCACACACAGCTTCTACACAGGGAGACTTTTAAGTGATTGGGTCCATTGTAATGTCTGGCAGCCATCTGTCAGACACTAAAGTAAACCCCAGCTATCCCAGCATGTGTGGTCTACTGTAGAGCTGAGCAAATGATTTATCTGATGAATTTAACCTCTTTTGCTGCTGACTGAATATCTGTGAGCAGGTCACCGTTTCCTCCAATTCATTCATTATTCTAGTATTGACTAAACAGCTTTTTGAATTTTTTACTCTGTGTCACTAAGAAAAATCCAAAAAAAGAGCTTAGTTTTGATTGGTCAGATGAATCACCTGGTGTTGTTTCCTGATTGGATGAGCTAGCAAGCAAATGTGCATGTGCATTTAAAATTAATTTCCCACCCATATTCACATAGGTGACATTGAAATTCACTTTCAAGGTGCCAGAAAAAAACCTTAGTGTCTGGAATGTTCATAGGAAGTGATGCAAACAGGGCAGTAGCCCGCTCACAGAAAATTTCATTTAAAATAAAACAAATATTGGCAGAACATTTTTGTCTTATTCAACATCACTCTAGGAAGATGGAGCATGGGTTTAGGCTTTGGAACTTTTTGGTTCGATTTTTTTGCTCTGCCACATACACTATGTGATGTTGGCAGTCTTTTAGGCCCATATATTTAGAGAAGTAGCAACTAGAGTTGGTCAATTTTTTTTTAAAACAAAAACAAAGACATTTTTCATTATTGTTGAAATTTTCAGTGGAAAATGACGACTTCCTATGGAAACCCAAAAATGTTTTGGTCCAAAGTTGCCAAAACCTAAAACATTTTTGGCTGAAAACCAAAAGAAACTTGGTTTTTCACGGTTTTGTTTTCCGATGAAAAATTGAGTATTTTCAGAGGAAGCAGACATTTTTCTGCAAAGGTTTTTGTTTAGTTGAAAAAATAATTTTCAGTCAAAACAAGGTTGGATAGAAATGTTTTCCAAACAGCCCTAGCACACACTAATTTTGACTGCCTAAATTAAGGCACCTTGGGCTATTTTTCACCGAGATCCTATGCACTCACATCTTCTCCACTGATTGCAGTCTGAGGGCTTGGCTACACTGGTACTTTACAGCGCTGCAACTGTCTCACTCGGGTGTGAAAAAACACCCCCCGGAGTGCAGCAAGTTTCAGCGCTGTAAAGTGCCAGTGTGGACAGTGCCCCAGCGCTGGGAGCCGCGCCTCTTGTGGAGGTGGGTTTTTTTAGAGCACTGGGAGAGCTCTCTCCCAGAACTCTGCTGTGACTACACAAGCCACGTTAAAGTGTGGCCAGGGCAGTGCTTTAGCGTTGTCAGTGTAGACCAGCCCTGAGTTGTGGGTGCTCAGCACCGCTGGGCACCAGGACCTAGGTGTTTCAAATTAGGAAGCCAAACTCTGGACTTTAACTGCTCCATGCCTCAGTTTACCCACCCACAAAATGTGGATAATCAGAAATTATCTACCCCAGGGGTGTTGGGAGGTGCTTTGAGATCTCTGAATAAGCAGCACCAGAGAAGTATAAACCAGGAGAAAAGTTTGTTTGTTTTGAGCTTCATTTTGAAAACTTTAAAACGTTAATAGGAAACATTCTTCTTGTCATTGGCCTAGCCTACGGATTTAAGGAAACAACATCTGTCCAGTGGCATCCAACCAACTGGAGTCTCATGTTGCATACGGAAAAGGAACAACTGCTCAACTGGCTTGCTCAGCTCAAGCTGTTTTAAAACTACCCTCCCCCATACAGTGCCTCTGCTGTAGAACTAGTACATGTTGCACCATTCAAAAGAGAAAAACGTGGCACTTCCCTAGATCCTTCCATCCTGAGGTCTCAATGTGCTTTTTACAGCCATTAGTTAAATGAGCTTCACAATCTCCCAGTGAAGCTGGTTAAATATCATTATTTCTAGCTTGCAGAGGGTGGGGCCAAATTCATGCATAGTTTAACTCCCGTGTGCCCTTACAGTCAGGATGAACAAGGCCCAGAGACATGGTGGGACTTGCCCACAGTCACAATGAGTCAATATTAGAACTGGGAATAGAACACAAATGTCCTGCGGTCTAATTCTCTCTCTGCAAAATACATTGACTTCAATGGGAGTTTCTGGTCTCCTGCAAAAGCAGAAGAGAGTGGTCATCCCTGTGCTATAACCGCTAGACAAGGCTTCCTCTAACCAGCTGCAATAACCATGCAGGGTGGTCTCTGGGCTTGGCTGTGAAAATGCAGTTACATCATCATGGCTTCCAGAGAGGCCGAGGGAACTTCTAAAGCAAATAATTGCCCAGTGCTGGGGAACAGGCCATTGTGAAAGTCCATGTGCCCATTGTACCAGCTCTTTCAGTAAACAAGAGATGCACCCCACACAGAAACAGCACAGCTCAGCACAGCTCAGCACAGTGCTGCTCCTTGTGGTTTGCAAACAGGCCAGGAAGCGAAGCCAGCTAGAGCTGAGGCTGTGAGAAGGTGGCTGGCTTCTTGCCCAATACAGCGTTTCGTTTTTTCTGAGGCCACACAGAACCTCATGTTGCCAAAAAAGGAAGTGGGAAAATATTACATGCAAAAACCAGAAAATGCTGCCTCTCCTCCTCCCCTTTCAGAGGCAGCATCTCCTCAGGGCTGGCTCCAGT